CGTGAGTGAGGGCGACAGTTATGCAATTATGACTAGTGCTCGTCATAATGGGGGTCATTAAGTGTGTCGCCAGTTATGCTCCCTGGCCGAGACGTGTTGTGGCCGTTTGGATTTTAGAAAACCCCTTTTTCTTTCTCTCGCGCCCTTTCTCCTTCACTTTACTCTTTTTTCGCCCTTTCAGCTTCCTACGCACACTGTCTTCTTCGCTTCCATTTATTCCTCACCTTCGTCTTCTCTGTTTCCGTCGCCGTTTTTCGGCCACTGGGTTGTGCTTCTTCTTTACCGTTCTTTCGTTTGTCACAGGAGTACCAGGTACTTCGATTTCTCTGTTCTCTCTCCTTTCTCCAATCTTCTCCTTCTTTGAGTCTTTCTTGTTTTCTTGATGGCTGGAGAGAGTGGTGCCAGATCTTCCGCGCCTGCCAAGGGCAAAGGTAAGGCACGGGGCAAGGCGGTGGCTACCGAAACGGCCACCGCCGAGAAGAAGAAGGTGGTGAACCCGCCTAAGGACCTCGTTCTAAGCATTCCTGGCTAGATTGGGTCAGGCGCGAAGTGGGGGAGACCCAAAGTGTGTTTAGGTCTTTCCTTGAGGTCAATGCGGTTTGGAAATCGCACAGAATTTGTGACCATTCCCTTTCCCGAATGATCCGGCTTGAACCCTGTCAGGCCGGTGAGGGTGTGTACATGGGGAAGTCCACAGACCCTCCCCATTTCTATGTCTACCTGTGTTTCTTTAGGGATTTAGGCGTCTGCCTTCCTTTCACTCAATTTGAGTGTGATTTTTTGAATTTTATCAACTCGGCTCCTTGCCAGTTGCACCCAAATTGTTGGGGGTTTTTGCGGGCTTTTCAAGTCCCGTGTTCAGCTCCAGGGATAGAGGTGTCTCTTCCCGTTTTTCTTCATTTTTACTAGCTGAAACTAGGTGTTCCGCCTTATGGCTTACTGTCTTTGAGTGGGAGTAGGGATGGGGGTTTATTCACCCTTTACTCTCAGTCATATAAAAATTTTAAACAAGAGTTTTTTCGGGTTGCACTTGTGGATGTCGACCCGTTGGCGCTTCGGCGGGTTGCCGAAGTTCCCCTTCTATTGGTGCCCCAAACCGGCTAGGTTTCACGGGGTGGGCCAATTACAATTGACGGCTTCGGAGGCGGCCGCCATTGAGAACCTTGTAGCGCTTCCCCGCCCGCTGGATTGCAAGCTCGTCCTGTCGCTTGCAAACTCGGTGTACAAGGAGAGGGGCATAGAGAGTGAGTATTCCGTTTTCCTTAGATTGTTAGGGTTTGTGAAGTCTTCTTTTGCTGATGTGCTTTGTTTTCTGTTTTTGCAGGCATAATGGGCAAAAATAAGTGGCGTTAGCTGAAGCACCGCTACAATGTTGCCGAGATCGAGGTCCCCGAGCCTCAGGAGGAGGAGATTTCCCCCTGAAGATCAACAAAAAAAGAAAGAGGGGAGAGAAGGAGGTCGGGGGGACCTCTGTCCCTCTAGGCGCCGAGGAGGTGACTTCCAAGGCCACTGATGTTGACGCGGTGGACCTCACTAGGAGTCCACCTGTGACACCCTCTACCCCAATATCATTAATAAACATAA